TCTCTCACACACACACACACACACACACACACACACACACACACACACACACACACACACACATATTATATATATTATACATATATATATATATATATATATATATATATATATATCATACGCGTGTGCGTGTGCGTGGTGTGCGTGCGTGTTCGTATGCATATGCATATGCTTGTGTGTGCGTGTGTGTGTGTGTGTGTGTGTGTGTGTGTGTGTGTGTGTGTGTGTGTGTGTGTGTGTGTGTGTGTGTGTGTGTGTGTGTGTGTGTGTGTGTGTGTGTGTGTGTGTGTGCGTGTGTGGTGTGTGTGTGTGCGTATGCGTGCGTATGCGTGTGCGTGTTCGTGTTGTGCATATGCGTGTGCGTGTGCATATGCGTGTGCGTGCATTCCTGAATGTGGTGTAAGTGTGTGTATGTGAAATTTGATCGATATGCCAGCACTGTCAACCATTCGCCTGCACCCGCTCCCGCCGGTGCGAGATCCCCCCGACATGGTGCAATTCAAGGAGAATGTAAACACGGGACACATGTGAAGAATACAGCAGCTGTATGCATTACTCTAGGGGATTGGAATCGGCCGTCGGGAGTGTTGACTGTCAGCTGGGAGGTCGCATGTATAATATACAGGGTAAACACACAAGCTGTTCGCGAGAAGACTAATAGTGAGCGTAGAAAAGGCAGCGAGAAACAGGGTGACTACGCGATAACAAAAAGAAACGATAAAGACTAATGGAAATAATAATAGCAGTAAAAGTAGCAGTGACTAGTAGTAGCAGTTGTTGTTACTGTATTGTTGCTGTTGCTGTTGAAGCAATATAATATCAATAGCATAATAATAATATCAATAATAATAATAATGATATCAATAGTAATAATAACAATATCAATAGTAGTAATAACAATATCAATAATAACAAAACAACAATAATAATAACTAGAAGCACTCAGCGCATACCTATCTATGCAATGAAAATATCCACATTTGAAGAATTACATTAAAATCTTTCTCAAGTACATTGGCGACGTCCGTGTTTCTCTACATCGAAATGCAAATGAATCCTTTAAAAATAAAATAAATAAATAAAAAAAATAAAAAAAAAATAAAACAAATCCAGGTTCGGCTAAAACACACCCTTCTGGTATAAAAAAAAAAAACAAAAAAAAAAACCCAAGGTATAGTTGACAATTATTTAAATAGGATAACTTTAAACTATATACGTATATGATATGTTAATATTTAACTTATTTATATAAATATATATATATATATATATATTGATTAAAATAAAGCAAAGAATAAAATAAATAAAAGTAATAAAACATAAAAATAAATAGATAAATAGAACAATTAAACGAATATATATTTTATTTTAACAATAAATAAAAATAAAAAAGTTCTACACTTAAAATTAACATTGATTCATAACTCTTCGGTCAGGATATGATACGTCTTAACAAGACTAATGCAACACGGATAAGCCAAAACCTTCCCCTATTAGCGATGTTAAAATGGTGGTCGAAGCCACAATCATTATCATCATCATTATTAGATGACATAATCATCATAAGTGTATCAATATTTACGATTATATATGGGTCGGAGTAAATGATGAAAATCATTAGCTCTATGATTACTGAACTAAAGATTATCCCTCATAACCCTCATATTTGCAAAAGTAGTAAACCTGCTTTCATTATCATTACTATTATCCTTATTATTACATTATTGGTATTATCATTCAATTCCGTTTGTTACTGATGTCATATATCATTCATCATACAACCTAATTATCATCTATATTTATCAAGCCTATATATCTTATTATCATATTAAATATATTATATCATTATCAGTCATTTTTATCAACTCTATTCACTTACTATATGTGTAATCAATTACCAGAATTTTAATTTAACTTAGACTACTTATTACTATAGTGATTTAATCATTATCTTTACAAAGACGATATACTTATCATATTTTTTTATTGAAAGCATCTAATATTATCATAAATTATTGTAATCATGTATCGTGCATCAATCTAATATCATTGTGATTATCATTATCATTAATCACCATTCTTCATTATTCATCATTTCATTATTCTGTGCAAGAAGAACTTAGCATCCCACAGTAGCAGCAGGCAGTAGTACTAGTAATAGCTCTCGCAATAGTAGTGCTAAGTTGAAGCAGCATTCTCACCCCGTCCAATAGTCAGTAGTAATTAGTTATTATGATAATTATTCTTATCCGATTAGTCAGTACATATAATAGACGTCTAGCTTCTCACAAGCTGAGCCAGTTATAGCGTAATTAGTAATAAAATTAATACGGAGTGGAAACTAGCATTCTCTCACCATAAGCAGTAGTAATAATAGTTCGCAATAGTTAGTGTCGAATATAATTCCATTCACCATTCCTCATTTCGTTCCCTCACGTGACGAGGGAGGAAGCCGAACACAACAACCAAACAGAATAGTCACCGTAGAAAAGGCTATGAATGACGACTGCGATATCCTTCACACTAAAGAGATGTAGTTGACCCGGCATTTCGATGACGTGCTTCATCCCAGAATACGTATTCCTTTATTAGATTATTAAGTATTATTAATAACCTTAGTTATTAATATCT